TTGTATCTTTGTGTTCTTGTGGCGTATGTGTTTTACTTTTTATTTCTCATATTATGGCTCGTACTCTCTCCTATTTTGTTTCTAGCGGGATAAGTACACGATCTTAGTCGGATCCAACCTTTGGGATTCTTGTTTTCGTATCTAAGAGGGTTCTTAAATCCTAACTATTAGATCATTCATTTACGGAAATATAATTTTAAAAAACCCATTAAAATACCTGACCATGAGTTGAAATAGTTGGAAATGAATAAATTGAAAAATTGAAAAACTCAGGTGTATCCTGATAAATTTCTTTTTATTTTAATCTTTCACATATCATCAAAATTTTCACTATCCTTAGAGATACAGAAATATGGATCTAAACCCGAATGTGTTTGAAATGTCCAAGTAAATGTTTCATTTCCTAAATCCATGAAAACCAAAGTGGGCTAAATGCGAAATAAACATTTTCTTAAGCTAAAAACTATCAATTTCGTGGTATTTAAATTAATTTTTTCTAAACAAGCAGGAGTGACTTGGAGTAGGAATAAACCATGAATAACCAATAGGATTTATTAGCTCCAAATTATTTTCTAGGCATAAAAAATATATCTTAATTTCTGTCTAATTAGAAAAAAAAAAAAAAACCAATCAACATTCATAAACCTCGTCCACGCCCTTTTTCGTCACTTTTGGTATTTTTTTTTACTAAAATAGCATTCACGGTAGTCGTATTACCGTAATGACCAGGCTAAGCATTATGGTACTTTTTTTTTTTTGACAAATAAGCATTATAGTACTTTAAGTACTATAATAATCAGGTCGAGCATTACTGTACTTTAAATACCATAATACTCAATGCGTATTACGGTACTTTAAGTTCACAAGACATTGAGTATTACGTTATTTTAAGTACTCTTATTCATAAGACATCTTATACGGCACTTAAAATATTGTGAGGAGCCAAGACCAGTAGTTTAAAGGGCGCATGGGATGGTATTGAAGGAGGCGCCTTCCATGGCATCCCCCACCAATGTGAAAAAAATAAAAAAAGAATAGCAACGCCCTTATAATATTTTAATTTATCTTCTCTTTCATGTTTATCTTACAAATTAGAAAGATATTCTTCTTCTTTTTGACAAATAATTAGAAAGATATTCTTTTTTTTGACAAATAATTAGAAAGATATTATTCCTATATTTTATTTCTCATTGCATAACTCTTTTCTTTGTCTCTTCTTGGATCATATGTGGTATATCTTTATATTATTTTTTATTTGTCTTCTCTTTATCCTTTTTAATTTTAAAAGATATGTTTTTAAATCTTTCTTTATTAAGATTTTAGGGGATTTTAAAAAATTGAAAGCTCTCTCTCACTCTCACGTTAACTCTCTCTCTCATACCCTTATATATCTCTCCCTATCTCTTAGGCATTATTTTTTTAAGAATCACCTCCTATCCTATTTAAAAGGCACTAAAAATTTTAGAGGTCTTTGAAAAACAAAGTCCCTCTCCCTCTTTCTCACATAACTCTTAGTCACACACCCTTAATATCTCTCCCTATATCTTAAACATTATTTTAATTTAAGAATCTCCTCCTATCCAATTTAAAAGGCACCAAAGAATTTAGAGGTTTTGAAAAAAAAAGTCATTCCCTCTCCTCCCATCGTAACTCCCTAAATCATTATTTCCCTCACGCCATAAATGAAATAAATATATAGGAAATCCCCCAACGGTTCTCTCTCTAGGAGTAGAGATAAAAGACGAGGAAGAGATGATGTGACTCTAAATATAATGATACACATCGGGAGGATGCAATGGATTCGGTTGCAATGTTTATCTGATCACCCTCCCTATTCTTCCCCTTTCGAACAAGGGGAAATATAATTACCACACTTTAAGTGCTGTAGTAAATGATCAATTAATCACAGTACTTAGAGTAGCGTGATGCGAAAGACGACCTTCATGGTAATGTGACTACCGTGGAGGTTATTTTAGTCCAAAAAAACTCAAAATTGAAAAAAAAAGATATGAGCGAGCTTTATAGAAGTTTGGAATTGTTTTCTATTTTGGTGAAAATTATGGTATATTTATGATAATTTTCCTATTTTCTATCTTACGAAATTGATCTTGAGTGACTAATGACCATTTGAAAATCTTTAGGAAAAGAAAAAAAGAAATGAACCTAAACCCTTGGGTGTCACATCGTGTTCAGGGGGTGGATTGTCAGTCAACTAACCCTCTTCCTTATTTTTTCAGGGGGCGGATGTAAAACATCCTAGTTATATCTTATACTAAAGAAACAAGGTGCAAGGTTTGTATAAGGTTGAGGCCCTAAACAATCAAATAAGGTGCACCTTTAAATAGTGTCAAAATATGTTGCTTCAGTATCATACATCTTTGTGATGGCTTGGGAATTTATTTTCATATCTAATTATAAAATTTAAAGATTAAAAATTACTATAAATCGAGCAGATCCATGAACACTTGAAAATTAATGGTCAAGATAATACATTATAAGATGCACTCTCTCCAAGACTTGAAATCTATTTTTTCTCATATCCATACATCTTGAGGTCAAGATGATTGAATCGAGGGTTTTTCAGCATCGAAACAACCTTTCGTATTGAATTTTTGAGGTGCACCTTAATTTAATTGTTTAGGACCTCATCTTTATATAAACTTTTTCCATCTCAAAAATCCAATGATAAAAGTTCTTTTGAGGTCCAAAAACCCTGAAATTGATCTTCTTGAACTCGAGATGTAAGGACCATAGTTAGTAAGTCTCCGTTTAAAACAAGATTTTTTCAAAAAACTCTTCAATTTTTTTAAGTCTGTTAAGAACTCCGCATTTTTCAAAAGATCTTCAAAAATCACTTTTTTTTAATTGAGCCAATATAGACCAACATTTTATCCTTTTTCAAAAAACTTATTCCCTATAAATTTATTTCGTCATTGACTTAATATTATTGAATTTTGATTTAAAGATAAATACATTAATAGTGAGAGTAAATTAAGAATCTTGATTTAATAAAAAAATTCCATAAAAATCTTCACCAATAAGTTCCCTTAAAAAAGGGAACAAAAAACTACAAGCAATATATTACCCAAAAGTTAAGATATCCCAAAAGTTAAGATATCAAGACAATCGTATATCTCAAGATAATAGCTAGACTTAGAAGAAGAGTAGCTCAATGAAAAATATATATATTTTCTTTAAACCCAGAATGTGCTTATAAAGAGGAAGACATAAAGTCAATAAGATTAAAGATTTAAGCGACTAGGATTTTATCGTGAGATTTGGATCTGCTTAAGCATTTTGTTGCTTTTTTTTATATATAAAGAAGCTTGATTAATTTTTTTTTTTGTTTTTTATTTCATTGGCATATACAACATAGCAATTTGGATGGACCACTATTTTAGATATTTGGGTCTTTGTGTTTTGTTTTAATTAACTGCAATATACCTTGGTTTATAGTTCTTATTATTTATTAATGTAGTTTTTGTGTTTAGTATTGTTGTTGTTGTTTCATCTTATGCTTCCAATAGATCTTGAGGGTCTTATATGGACGTAATAAAAGTTCAATTTCAGTTTCATTATATGTTTTATGTTGTGAGAACAATAAGCAATGTTGTTGGATTTATTGAAAGTTTAAATAAAAAATTATCAAGTATTACTACAATGACATTAGGTAAAGGCCATAAGATTATTGCTCAATAGATTTAATGTATCTAAACATTAATTGCAAATCATAATCCCATAGTGTCATTTTTAAATATCTAATTTTTTCACTCCATTTTTTTTAACCAAATCCAAAATATTCACTATTTTATGACTTACTTTTTTTTTCTACGATCTGTATTTTTTAACTGATTTTTTCCTCCAACATTTTGAAATAAAACCAATTTATTACCGATGTTTTGGTTTGATTATTCCCCAACTTGCTAACTAAGGCAAGGACAGTCCAAAAAAAAAAAAAAACATAGGACTTTGGAGTCATAAAATGACTGCAATCTTATAGTACATTATCTGAACTGTCCATTTCAAATTTTTAAAATGTACATGGATTTGATCTATATTATTTTTGGAGCTTTAAGTTTTATAATTAACGGTGATAGATTTTTACACCATCTGAGGGTTTCTAGCACCCAATAGATTTTTCAACTTTTCCGACTCAAGTTGATATACATTTTGATGGGTATTTTAAAATTAAAGTAAAAGATATAGATAAATGTTTAGTGAACCCTTAGTGTATTTTGATAAATTTTCCAAAAATATAGTGGAAATTTCTTAATTATTCAATAGTAGCAACTCTGAACAAGCAAATGTATTTTGATAATTTAGTTCCATTTATACCCAAACAAATGACAAACCCTATTAAAGAAAAAAAAAATGAAAAAGAAAAAAGACTTTACGAACCCTAGTGATACTTTTCATCATTTGGCAATTCCATGCTGCTAACCCTCAACAACCAAGAGTATTTTAATCAATTAGTTATACCAACTTGTGTGGGCTAAACTACCAAAATGTCCCTAATTCAGATATCCCAAATTGATTATTCTATGGAAAATTGTTTCTTGCATGGACCGCTTTTCTATAATATGCGGTACAAAACATCCATTTTATAGATGGATGGAAATAGGTGGTCCATTTAAAAACAATTGTAACTAACCATTCAAATGTTTTTTTAATATAATTAGTAGTTTTAGTTTTTAATTTTTATTTATTTTTCATATTCATGATCTCCATGTTAAACATTATATATTCTCAAAAATTTAAGACCAAATTATATTTAAAAAATATGTTTATTGTCAAGCCCGCATTTCTACAATATGCTGGCTGCCGCATAGAAACCGTGTTCTTATTTTATTACCATATTTTTTAAGAGGTGACTCAGTTAAAAAATAAATAAATAAATAAACAGCAACACCCGTGATGTTAAATAGGATAATTTGACAATTTTGATGATTAAGTGAACAGATATACAGTTAACACCACTTTGCAAGCAGAAACACCATTTTCTGGCTCACAAACATTTGTGTCCATCTTACCCCTGAAACACACCAAGTACGCAAACCCCACACATCGATGATCAGCAACCCAAATGACAAAAATCCCCAAACTGCCCCTGAACCGCCTCCGCCTCCACCTCCACCTCCCACCACCAAGCCACCACACAATCTCCACCTTCAGCTCTCCCTCCAGATTCACTCCAGGCCACCACCCCTTTCTCTCTCTAAAAGGACCATGCAAAAGCCTCACAAACCAGCCCATTCTCTCTCTACCAAAACCACGCAAAAACCTGCAAGAAAACCCATTTCTTTCTCAATGGAAACCGTGCAAGAACTTTGAGGACCACCCCATTCTCTCTCTCATCAAACCATGCAAAAACTTCAAAGACCTTCAAATGCTTCACTCTCACACTATCACCACTGGCCTAATTCAAGACCCATTTTCCGCGAGCAGAATTGTTGGCTTTTGTGTGGTTTCAAACAATCTTCCATATGCTCGCAATGTCTTCGATCGCATAGAATCGCCCGATGTCTTCACATATAACACCATGATTAAAGGATACTCCGAAACCCATGAACCAGAAAATGCAATTTCTTTGTACTTTCAAATGCTATTGAATTCTCTACCACCCAACACCTTCACTTTCTCACTCTTGATCAAGGCATGCACCTTGAAATGCTTACTGAGAGATGGCAAAAAGATTCACTCCCAAATTTTGAAGCATGGGTTCCAATCAGTGCCCGTTATAGGGAATTCTCTGATGGGCTTTTACTCTATGTGTGAAAACTTGGTAGATGTAAATCTACTCTTTGATCAAATGCATGAAAGAGATTTGATATCATGGAACACCTTAATCACTAGTATAGGCAAACGTGGTGATTTTGAATCTGCACGTCGAGTGTTTGATGCTATGCCTGATAGAAACTTGGTTTCTTGGGCGGCCTTGATTGATGCTTATGTTAAAGGTGGTCATTTTCTAGAGGCCTTGAGACTATTCTGTGAAATGCAAAAATTTGGGATGGAACCTGATGAGGTCACAGTTGCTAGTGTCCTTTGTGCTTGCGCTAACTTGGGTGCTTTGAATCAAGGGAAATGGCTCCATTCGTATATCGATAGGAGTGAGATGACGATCAATGTGGTTCTTGGAACTGCATTGGTAGATATGTATGCAAAATGTGGGTGCATCGACATTGCTCTAAAATTGTTTCGAGAGATGAGAGAGAAAGATATCATTTTGTGGAATGCGATGATTGGAGGGCTAGCGGTGAATGGGTATGGAAAGCAAGCTTTGGAGCTCTTTGATCAGATGAGAACTCTTAGAGTGGGGCCAAATGAAAGGACATTCATCGGTGTTTTACGAGCTTGCAGTCATTCAGGACTTGTCTCTCAAGGTAGGATGCATTTCCATAGCATGATTAGGGATTATGGAATAAACCCTAGAATTGAGCACTATGGTTGTTTGGCCGATGTGCTAGGTCGAGCTGGGCTTTTGAAAGAGGCTGAGGATGTTCTAAACAACATGCCTATGAAACCACAGGCTTCCCAACTGGGCGCCTTATTGGCTGCCTGTAAAACCCATGGCAATCTAGAGATAGCTGAACGAATAGGGCAGAATCTAATTGAATTGGAACCCAATGATGGTGGTCGATACGTCCTCTTATCTAACATATATGCAGCTGCAAATCAATGGGATAAATCTCAAGAGTTGAGAAGAAAAATGAGAGAGAATGGGCTTAAGAAAGATCCTGGTTGTAGCTTCATTGAGTGGAACGGGGTTGTTCATGAGTTTCTTGCTGGGGATATAAAGCATCCTCAAACTACAGAGATATATGCAATGTTGAATGAATTGGAAGTAAGGTTGAAGTCTAATGGATACTTGCCTCACATTAGGGAAGTGTTGGTTGACATGGATGAAGAAGAGAAGGAAATAACTCTCTCCTATCATAGTGAAAAGCTGGCGATTGCATTTGCGTTCATAAACATGGATCCTAAGACACCCATCCGGATTATTAAGAACCTTAGAGTTTGTATAGATTGCCACATTGCCACTAAGCTGATATCCAAGATCTACAATCGTGAAATCATTGTGCGAGATCGGAACCGTTTCCACCATTTTATAGAAGGGGCCTGTTCTTGTGCTGATTACTGGTGAATTTGGAGGTATGACTTTGGAGAGAGAGAGAGAGAGGGTGTACAACTCATTTATAAAATACAAACTGTTCTACAACATCAAAATAAGCTGTAAAAAATTATCTTGATATATATGGCATATATATATGGATTACATGGCATAATGTAGAGAAACATATCAAGTTTGAAAGCTTCTGTAATCAGTAACGATTTCTAAACTCTCTTGAAATTGATTCAAATTCAATTCCTTTACATTCTTTCAGGATATATTCTTGTTCCGACCTGTATTGTATGCTCAGTCTCTTCCCCTTTATCCACCACTGGAAACGTCTCATATCTCAAGAGGACACCAAATAAGATCTTACCCTGCATTTCATTTACATGATCATCATCATCATTATGATTATTATTATTGTTATTACTATTACTACTATTATTATTATTTTTCGTCATCATCATCATTATTATGATTATGATGAATTTTGCACTGCTGACAATCAGAATCTGCGTTAGAAGCCATGGCAATCAAGTCGTGCAACTGACCTGCACTCGCCTAAAAGAGGCTAGAGTCGCCAAAGGTTCCTTGGACATTTGGACTTGCCCTGACCATGGGCTGATATTGATCATTTGACAACGGTTGCATCCGCCTAGTGCCTGTAAAATAATAGATATGAAAGTGTAAAAATCTAAGCACCACCATGTTTATATAAGAATGATTGCAGACGAAGAAACTTTGAGAAAATGATTATTGGGTTTCTTGTTTTTTCAGTCTGTAAGTGGGGTGGGACTGAAACCTTGGTATCATGCTGTGGTTTCATCACCTGACCAATGAAGCAAGATGCCAAGCTTACTTTCAAATAACAAAAACAACCACTAAGGTGAAGAACTAATGGGCAGGGTGTATCCTGTAGCAACAAGAAAAATATTCCTCCTCATAAGAAACACACATAATGACAACTCAAAGATGAGTGAGATTCTTACAGTGAAAAGCTGCTTTCCTATATTGACACTTCTCCAGTTGTCTTCATCATATGAATTGGCTCCTGATACAACAAAATTGGGACGAAATCTCATGGGGTCCACATAAACTGATTCTGTGGCATGTGCAAAACTTCCCTTTTGTACACCTGTCACAGTCATTGTTTATCACTACAGTATCTCAAGCGTCTGTTATCTCTGAAACATTTCATGTTCTATGCAGACAGCTGTTTTCAGGACTGCACAAAGTTCACTATAAAAAAGATTGGTAAAATAATCACGAAATCGCATTACAAATCCTTGATGACATGATTTAAGGATTCTGATGCCCTTCGGCAAGAGCCAACTTGTCAAAATTTGCTTTTACCCCAACACGATGAACTGAGAGAATGCTTATACCAGTTTATATAACTAAATCCTTGAAAATATTGCTAGATACTATCAAGAAGATGGCTATAGAAATGAGAGCTGGGAAGTGACATACGTGAGTTTATCCGGGTGTTAAGGTCACGAACACTAGCCTCGGAAATCAGCAAGAGTTGAGCTTCATTGACGAAGTTGAGTCTACTGTTTACATCTCTACATCTTCCTCTGATGTCATTTTCCCGTATGCAACTTGTAAACTCAGCACCATGGCATCTCATTAAGACACAAGGCCGGCCAACAGCATCTGTGAACCACTGATTGACTTTGCTACCATAAGTCTGCACTTGATATCTAGGACATTCAAATGGGTCATCAGTTAGTTGCCAAATCAGTTTAAAAATTGTCCACGAGCTTTCATATAGAATCTATCATGTAGTAGGTATTTAGGTAGTGCTCAATTATTCCAAGCACTGGATTTAATATTTGAAATATTCCAATACATCCTGTTCAGTACATAAGTGAAAGCAGACCATATTTTTCAGATTGAATATTTAAAGATATATTAGTGTGCATGTCTAATCAATCCTATATGTAGATCTTGCATGTACTCTATTACCAGAAAATATCCACAATTGATCCCTGCCAATATTCATTAGCTTAACATATAAAGAAAGAAGAGAAAAAGGTTGTGTCATAAGGTTACAAGCATAGACAATGTTCATTATTAACAAATTGCATTTGGTTGCTTAAGGCAAATAATGATATGGTCAAATAGTGCATAAATCTTTACTCTGATATCACTTATTACAAGTTGTGATCTCAATCTCTCTTGTACTTAAAAGAAGACTCAAATAAGAGTAAGTCTCCTCCAATTTCCTTTTTATAAACTTGGGGGTAAGGAGGACCATTGCAATCTATCAGAATGTGAGGCATTTGTCCTTAGCATGGTGAAGCCTCTGTCACTGTAATTTGACCACAGTTAATAGCTGTTGAAACTTGTTGACATACTAAGAACATGACATGCATGTCCAACAAGATGCTTTTGCTTAACCTCTTCAGTTGATATGTCGATATGAAATACTTAATGCCACTTAAAATCTCACCATCCTCCGTTAAATGATGTATGGATGTCTGGCATCTAAAAGTTCAATTTTTGGGGATGGAACTCATATTAGTGCTAGATGCTGACATGTCTTTCTGTGTCTTTTGGAACATCACATCTATCTCCTCACCCATTTTGTCATCTGTCCATTTAGTGTATTGTATCTAGTAATCTCTGCTGTATATGTTTTGCAGCTATTAAAGCACTAGTATTGAGTTTGTCTCAGAAATGGTTCAATTCAAATAATTAAACTCTAGAGTTATACAAGATCTGAAAGCGCATTAAAAGATAACACAATGGTCTGCCAATGGTAGAGGCTTTCAATGAAGTAATCTTGCACCCCTTCCATGTCTTTTGCAAAAATACTTTTGGACATTGGCATTTACTACCATTTGTTATGAAGAAAAACAAATAATACGGGCAGATAATTCAACATGTAAAGATGATTATTTCTAAATATACACCCTTGCTTTATACTATTTATTTGTAATTGCCTCAGACAAATAACAAAAGATCCCTACCATTTTTTTTAAAAATAACATGTGGTTAATGGCATTCATTTTTGAGAAAAATCTGGAACACAAACTGTGAAATAGAAGATCCAACATACATACATGAGCGTAAGCACACACACACGCGCATAGAGAACAAAAAATGACAATTTGATGAAACCATGATCTGAACTCTTCATGCTTAAAAATTATAGAAAAACGTGCATCAATTTCATTAATATTCCAGTATTTAGAACTATTGTACTGACTGAATATAAATCGCACGGGCTCCCAACATTATTACAATTATTCAAACCTGCTGATCTACTGAGTGGCGATACTCAATTGCATTATATTACCTAAAATTAATAGGAAATTCTCAATAACTTATATGAGATATGGAGCATACATTTTGGAAACAGAATTCAAATATATACTGAATCCAAAAATCGCAAAAGGGTGACATTGGGAGGGATAAAACATTGAAAAGGAATGTTTTCAACTTTAGCTGTCATATAATAGTAAAGAGATGTATACCTTCTCCCATATACATCGGCTTCCTCTGTGAAACTTCCAACAGTATTCAGTTCAAGAGCAATCTGCAGCGGCTCTGGGCAATTGGGCGATTCAACAAACAACTTGCCTTTGGTAGAGTCAATGAACGTGCTAATTGAACACATTCTTGGGACCTATAAATCCATATTATAGTGTAATTAAATAGAACATGACACTGCCCATTTCTCTAAATAAAGAATGCATTATTAAATGGCCCTGGGACCTATAAAACATTATCAGTGTTACACAACATGCATAAAAGTCAAACTGTAATCAGAGGCTAATAATCTATCACATGTGGCATATTCACAAATGATCAAGTCTGTTTTGGTTAGCTGCATTCTCATAAAGGAAATAAAAAACACAAAAATCATAACATATATAACATTTAACTTATGAGCCCCTAGAACTTTTAAATTGAACAACTCATATTTCATCTATGCTTGTCTTCTTCAAGCTTGGATAAAAATCAACACAAGGAGAAACCAGAAAATTTGGAGAAATAACAAAAATATTAAACATTACAAGAAGAATATGATACCTTCAGTAAATCATAAATCAACCTAACTTTGCTTTTAAAACAATTTCAAAGACACCACATGGTGATGTTGCACCACCTCTCTCACTCAACAACACATTGAGAGAGAGAGAGAGAGAGAGAAGCACCAAGTTTGCTTCTCTAAAACACAAGCACACACACAAAGCCACAATCTTGCAGCCTCCACATACACACATAAAAACATGCATAAAGAATCTATGATTACAAGTAAAGTGCAGTTCCAGTGTTTCACATTTTTCAACAAACAACAGGGTCATTATGTGAATTTTCAAAAAAAAATTGAGAGATGACTGCTTCAAATCTAGTTGCATTATAACAGCTTCTACAAAAAATTCGTGACTTCTGCGTTGATTCCTTAATGATTTTACTGAACACATAATGATTTCAAGTTTGAAATTTGTAGTTACCTTCTTTTGAGTTAGAACCTCACCATTAATGCTCCTGAGAAGCCACTCACGATCATAATGTAGGCCTAATAAAATATCAGAGTAGAAAGTAAATAAATAAACCAAAATGCACTACAGAGCCATAACAAATTCACAATCTAAGAGCAGTCCAGATTTAAGAAAAGTGAGCATTACATTTACAAGGTGACCAAAAGTATTAACATAGATGCTGGTTTGCCTTGTCATGAAATGCAATATCAAAACTGTGGGCATTCAATCAAAAGGATGTGTGTATGATAACCATTATTCTTTCCACATATGGTATATGCCCTTTCCTGAAGTCCGGAAGGACGAAAAAGGTTTGGCCTTAGGGATGATTTAAGTACTCAATATTAAAAACAAGACAAGCAAAAGGAGGTTCAACAAGGACTCGAGGAATAAAAAGAATAGATGACAGATGACAAAGATGGGATAAAATAAATAAATTATTTCAGGGAGAGGAGGTGTGGACGCCCCCCCAGAAATTCTGGCTAATAGAATTCCCATAGACCTTAGTTCCGAGTCCTATGGACCACAGTAACCCAATGAGCCCTAGTAAAGCACTTAGAATTGTCTCAAGATCACCCAAAACCTATCCTAATACCCTCAAATAGTCACCTTAGACACCCATGAGTCTTATGAACCCAGAATACTGACCTGAACGCCAATCTAATAACCAGAAACCTAAAACTGAGACCCTGAGTCCTAGCCTGGTAGACCCCTCAAATAACATACGAGGTCACAAAGTTTTCAAGGGTCCAAGATTTGCCTGAATCCGACTTGCGGTTAGAAAGATATGGCCCGGGGAAAAATTGTTCAGAAAAATGACATTTTAGCCCCCTGCACGACTCAACACATGTTAGGCCGTGCGACAAGCCATGTGTTGCATGGTTCAACCGGCCCGAGACAAGCCAAAACATGTTTAAGTCCCATTTTGACTGGATTTTTAAGGCGGTTTTTGATCGAAATATTCAGGAAAAATTCGAAAAATACCCTGATCCTAATAAAACTAGTAGTAGGACAATAGATTAATTAATTTCAAGCCTAACGTTACCTCAAACCTATAAATACCCCCTCTAAAATCCCAAAAAAAAGCACTAAAACTTCCCTAGAAAATTAGTTAGGAAAATTCCTAGATAATTAGGAAATTCTCAGAAATTCCAGATAATTAGGAAAATCCTCAAGAAAATTAGGGAAAAACCCTAGAAAATTAGAATAAACTCTATAAAGCCTAAAAAATTCAAAAATTCGTCTAAAATACCTAGAAAAATAGGCAAACTCCTAAAACTCCTAGAAAAATAGGAAAAAAACCCTAGAATGCCTTAGGCTAAAGCTCCAAAGACCCAAATCCTATCAAAATCTCTCCAAAATCAAGATCAAATCCTAAGAACAAGTTCTCCTAGATCTTAAAACCTTAGAAGCCATACTTCAAGAAAGCAAGAGAATGCATCAAAAGGTGTAAATCAACCCGCGGTCCTGATACGAGGCCCAACTCTGGATTTCTCAAGTACGCAATCTCTCTTTCTCTTCTGCCAATAGACTCACAAGAGAATTGGATATGCATAGATCTGCGATGCTTCTGAGCCTATAATTTGAGCGACCCCACTCTCTCTACTGATTTTTAAAATTAGCTCGTTCCACAAGAGATTTGAGCTGATCTCGCTCAAAGATCGGTGTGAATTCAGGCGTAAACAGGAGGTTCTCAATCTGTGAATGATGATGACACAATTTACCCCAAAATTTACAATTATAATATGGCGAATGAACAAAGTGCTCCTTATATCATGCCAGGGAGCACTTGTATAATTCATTCGACATGGGGAGAAACTAATTTATAGAAAAAGTATCTTTTTACTCCATGGTATACTCTGCATATTTAATTTCTACTCATGGGCTTGTTTTGTATAATTCATTAAGTTCTAATCAACTATAACATTAAATGAAGATATGCATTTCACAACAACTCTGTCCAAACCCATTAATATAGCATGTAGCAGGTTACCAGTACTACTGAGAGGCCATTTCTCCACACTGAACCCAGCACATGATTTTATAGGATAGATAGTAATTGACTTCAAATAAATTTCACCCTCTGAATGACCTTTCCACGTGCCTGAAATTGAAATGAAGGAAAAGCTGAGGATAATTAGAAATATTATTCTGAATGATATTATCCGATACTAATCAATGATTTGGAATAAACAATGATGCCTTTTCATTGACACGTTGGCCAACAAGAACAATTAGGAAAGGCCAAATATGAATTGATAATAGAAGCAAACAAATGGCATGCTTACTGCCCTGAAAAGAAAAGAGTATTACCTGCACAAACAACAATGGACACATTGCATTCACCATGTGGTTACATCTCATGGACTCTAACATGGTTTCTTTAGAAAAAGCCCTAATAGACTCAAACAAGTCTGTAATACCTAGCTTGAGAGTCCATATTCCGTACGAATCTTAGAAACACTCTTACTCAGTATACAGAGAAACAGCTCAGCCAAGGTACTTGGCCCTTGCCAAGTTATTCAGGTGAGTCCAAGTAACTCCCCTGAGTTCGAAAAATAAAAATAAAGACCAAAAAATTAATGGAACAAGTTTATATAAGGTTGCAACCTTAAAATGTAGAATTACATATGCATGTCAAAAATGCATCGGAAAAGGTTGTTTTAATGTTGAGAAAACCTCTAATTGATCATCTCGACATCGAGATGTATGAATATGAAAGAAAAAAAGATTTTGAGTCCCAAAAATAGTGCATCTTGCAAAACATTATACAGACCATCCATTTTCAAGATTTTCATATGTTTATAGATCTACTTGATTTTAACCATTTTTGAAGTTTAAACTTTTATAATTAGATATAAAAATAGATTTTGAGATAATCTTAAAGAATTTTTCACCAAAATTATAAAATTTGAAGGTGCGCCTTAATTGGATTGTTTAAGGTTGCAACCTTATAGAAACCATACCAAAAATTAATATATATATATATATATATATAAACTCCCATTTTTTACCATCAAACCTAAGATGGCTTATCAGTTAGTCGTGCCGCTATTGTTATGACTCTTTACCCGAGAGGTCTTGGGTTCGATCCCCAAGGTTGCTCCTTTTGGAACTCTTGCTTTCTTAACTCCTTAAAAAAGGATTAAATTTAAAAGGAGGGAGTGTTTGTGAGAGGGTCGAACCCTCAACATAATGCTACCCAACAAGCAATTTGAACGTTCTTTATTCAAATAGACATATTAATGTATATAGGTTATACATACATGGCGTACAACAAACTTAGGAGGAACTCGTCGTGCCCATAGGGCGAGGCCTAGTAAGGATTCGGCGAGTCGGGACCATTGCTCTTACTACTATCTAATCCCCGAAGGGATTAGGTCCGTTTGGGGGTGTATAAGACTACTCTTACTTCTAGTTAATCCCGTAGGGATTAGGTCCAGGTTTGGAGTTTATGGGCAACAATCTGGAGGCCCGAGATGGACTCACTTTCTTTAAAGTGTTCAATGCCCTCAAGTCAGTAAAAGTCCAAGATGCAATCGGTCCTGGTGCGTACACTACTAGGATACAGCCAGATCAATAAAACACTTGCCGAATCTCTAAGAAGCATGTCCAAAATACTAGCTTAAAACCACAGCCAAAGATATTGATTTCTTCCAATCAGTAATATGCCAGAAAAGCTTTGGATGGGAATGAAAATCAAGAATAGATATTCCTTGTATCTGTCACACCAAATGATATAACCAAATATATTAAAGGTTTCCTACACACAAAATGATACATGAAAGCCTTCTAAGAGGTGTGAGATGATAAAATATTGGGTTTTTGGTTGGAGGACAAAAACGAGTAGAGAGAGAAACAACATGAAAGCTGGGGTTTTATGAGAGAGAGTAAAGAGCATTTTTTCAAAAATAAATAAATAAATGGAGATTATAGGTGTTATAGATGAGAACACATGGGTTTTACCATTAAAATGTAGCATGACATGTGTCATAACAAAGATATTAAATGTCATAAAAGCCCTACGTCATATCTTATATTATAATAACTCACATGACACTTACCCAAAAAAAAAACTCACATGACTCTAAATTGTAATACATCATCTTACCGCATGACGTAAAACTGCTTGGATTTGGGTGCAAACTCGGATTGGCCACCCATGCTATTGTACAAAGGTGTGGAAGGCGCAAAACAAAAATGGTTAACTTTCTCAAAAAAAATAACCATACACATTTCATTATAACTGTCCACTTCATTAAATGTCATATAGCACCTATCCAAAACATCCCACATCATTAAATGTCATATAGCACCTGTCCAAAGATCCCACATCATTAAAAGAAAAACACAATGTTCCAAGTGGTCCAAATGGACCACATTATAGACATAGGCTCTCATGAGGTCTCATAACCACTAAGAAAAGGTAGTCTAATCATCGTCATCACCATTAGTGTTTTAAAATGCAGGATGCGGCCAAAAGCGTTGGGGGGGCCGATGCGGCTCGTTGCGGTCCAGATAAGGGTGCATCGCGATGATGTGATCAATAAATATAAGAAAATTCTAAAAAGTCTAAAAAAATAGGTTAATGCATAGAAAAAATATGGAGGCGCTATATATGCTAGTAGGTATTTAGATTATTCATTAAGTCCAAAAGTATTAGATTTCGAAGATTCTATACTCACTCTCTCCTGATAGAAATTAGAAACTAGCTTCATAAAACATTCAACAATCAACAACCATAAGCACAAATCTGCAACCAAAAACTTTAAAGTTACAAATTTTATAAACTCTTAATTTTGAAAAGAGTCCATGAAGCTCTTCGACTCGACTTGTAAACTTTATAAATTTATAAAAATGTTGTAACTTTACGATATAAAAGCATTTATGAAGATCAATAAATTTTATAAACTCATTAACTTGTAAGTTTACTGTATTAGTCCATGAAACTCTTTAAAGATGCAAATTTTATTTGAAAAGTACTGGCAAAAGTTCTTTGATTTGTAACTTTTAATATTCATGAACTTTTAGTTTGTAGTATCTTGTATTACCAATCGAAGGACTTCAACAAATAAAATTTATGCCCAAAATTTTTTTTGATTCAATCGATCCAATAAAAGCCACATATGTGGCTCTAAAAATGTTGTTTGGGTAGTTAAATACCCCCCAAACCCTTTCCCCCCAATTTCAAAGGTCAAAATGACATTATTGCCCTTGCCCAAATGGTGGACAGATTATGCGGCCTGATACGGTCGATGTGGGATGCAGCTCTGATGCAGGCGCATCTCTCCAAACCGCATATGCGGGAAAGTGCGATGCCCTGGGTGGCACATAGTGCCTGATGCAGCCGCATATGCGGCAACACGGCCACATTTTAAAACACTGATCATCATCCTTGGAGTCTTATCCCAACTATTTGAAGCCGGCTACATAAATCATGTTCCATCATTCTGTTCTATCAAGGGTCATACCCTCAGTAAGACCATAAGTTCCCATGTCTTTTCTCAGCAGGTGCAGAGCGTCACTTATGGCTTTCTGCCCTAGCATGAGTAAATAACGTAGATTCATAATTCACAGAAACTTGCAGCAAAGTTTTATGCTGGCTACCTATGTAGCAGAACCCTCCTCTGCCTAGGCTTGAGAATACTTCAGAATAAAAATTTAAATTAAAGTTAATTTGGAAACACCAAAAAAAAAGAGAAAAATTTAACAATCCCCTGCCTGATTCAAAATAACTAGCCAATCCCCAAACATATTAGAAAAGACAATGCATAAGTGAGGGTGTCCTACAGACTTAGTCTTATGCGGAAACTTATCGGGATAGCGAGTTGACAAACTTCGAATTATATGCATTATTGATAAGCTTCCCACATACCACACATTTTCCTTCAGAAAGATGTGGCTTTTTTAAAGGATTGTGTGTTACAGGCTCTGCGTCAATTTCTAGTTTTCATGAGTGCTTTAAAGAATACCCAATTCTCATAGGAAGCAACCTCCAATTCCACACTTATAAGTGAATCCATGGAGGATGCCTTGCAGTATGACACCCTAGCATAAGCTTTATATAATCTAAGCAAGGGAAAACTTTATATAGAGCCGAGGCTCTAAACAATCAAATGAGAGCCTACCTCAAATAGTTCATTAGAAGAGGTTGTTTTGATGCCCAAATATCCTCAAATTGATCATCTCGACATCAAGATGCATGGACATGAGAAAAAACTGGATTTCAAGTTGCGAAAATAGTGTATTTTGTAATGCATTTTTGGATCGTCAATTTTCAAGATTTCCAAGTTTTCATAGATTTGTCAATCTACACTATTTTTGAAGCTTTAAACTTTATAAATAAAGATGAAAATATATTTTAAGACTATTACAAAGATTTTCAGTATTGAAACCACTTTTCTCGTCACTTTTTGAAGGTAGGCTCTAATTTGATTGCTTATAGCTTAGGCTCTAAACAAACCGCACCCTCTAAGCAAATGGACTCATTAACAGCAAATCTCAACCTTTCCATTGAGCCATTTTGGATGTCTAATGAAAAGAATGTTCACATCAAAAAAATTTCAAATTCTTCTCACCATGAAATTGAAAAGGATGCAGTTTCTGCAAGGACTAGGCTTTATGAAAACAATGTAAAGCCTCATGTTGAATCCTTATCTGGAGAGCACTTTGGACATCAGAATCTCCACGATGGCTCTAAAATCAATTTCCAACACCTATGAAATTTAAAGCTCAAAAAATGGTTCAGATCTTGGGGATTTGTAAACACATATTTTTAGAGTAAAATAGATGGTTTAGATAAGGTGTTACAATATACATTTCACAACCACTTGGTCAAGGCCAAGATGATCGATTTGAAGATTTTTCGACACAAGAACTGTAATTTTCGATGAGTTTTGAAGTAAGGATTTACTTATTTTAATAGGGCTGGAGCCCTATCAAAACATTTTAAACATCCTTTCATTTTGTTTTATTGTGCAGGTAGATTGTTTGAAAGTTTGTGAAAATATTAAGCAGATTTTATTCGCTAGATGTGTTTGTTTGTCAACTTCGCATAAATTTCTTTCTTGATTTTTTAGCTATTTTTTAACAGGCTCTTCGAGG